CCGCCAGCCCCTCCCGGCCCGTGGAGTGGGTCCCGCCCCAGCGCCCGGCAGAGCGACCGGCGCCCCCCGCGCCAGCAGCCCGCCGACCTGAAGGCCCTCCCTCCAAGGGCCGGCCGGCTGCCGGGTCGCTCGGCCCCGGCGGAGTCGGGCTGGGGGGACGGCGCCTTCCGGGGGCCTTCGGGGTCTGCGCTCCAGGCCGCGGCCGGAGAGGTGGAGGCGCGCGCCCGGGCGCGCGCCGTGCTCTGCAGCATCTTCCCGCCCCAGCAGGTGGACAGCGTCATGGCCCTGTTCCCCGAGCTCTCCGATGTCGCCAGGCTCATCCTCCTCATCCAGAAATTCCAAAGGTCGAGTGTGCCCGTGGGGAAGCCCTGAGGAGCTCGCCTGGGCCACCGCACGGGCTGCCCCAGTCTTGCCTTGCAACCTGACCGGGCTGGCGGTGGTACTCCGCCTGCACCTGGGTCGGCACCCCATGTGGAACCCCCTTTCTTTGAAGATGTCAGGAAAGACAGCTTCCTGGGGCCCTCTGCAGGGCCCCTCGTGGCTCTTGGTGACCTTCACTGACGACGCAGGGGCTGCTGCTACAGGTCCATGTCCTGCAGAATCAGGTTGGCCACTTCCGTTGAGGGAGTGATTTCTCAGGCCTGAAGACTACAAGTCCCACTAGGGCTCCAAGTGTTTGCCCAGAGTACTCCATGGCTGTTTCTGTCCAGCTACAATTGGCATCCACAAGTGGGTCACAAGATCAACTTAAGGGGTCACACCAGAGACAGGGTGGAATAGGAAATTGCGGAGCACACCCCCACGTAATCAGGCTTGGGAGGAAACTGTTCTTTGTTAGCTACAGATGTGCCTGTATTCTCTCAGTAGCCATGTGAACTTAATGTGGGTTATGGGCAAAAGGTGGAAAAACTCTGGTAAACGGCCTTGGAGTTCATTGCATCAAATCACGTTTGAAATGTGTAGTCAGTTGGCTGGTGGAGATTTTGGCATCTGGAGGTTTTCACATGAGCTGTTTCTAACCTCTTGAGGGGAACCCAGAGTTCTCGCCTCCGTGTGTGGGCTCCACTTTTCACTCTGAGGTTGTGTGGCTGTGCTGGTCTGTGGAAGTGTGGCGGGGGGCACCTTGTCTGGAGCCCTCACCCCACTTCACATATGCACACCACACATGCAGATATTACACACACAATCACACAACACACACACACACACACACACACATACATCACTTGACTCAGGGATAAATGTCCTTTTTCAGCCATCCATCATGTTTCCAGCCCAGGCCCTTTACTGGCCAAGCCTTCTGAGCCACACCTCACAGCTGAGCCCAGGCGCACTGAGTCAGGGATTCTGCTCAGAAACCTCCGGGTGCGTCAGCGGAGAGCTGGGGTGAGCCTCAGTCATGGAGCTTTCTTGCCACCTTCCATCATTGCTGTTTATTCTCACTAACTAGTCCTTTGAGTTTTGGGGGGAAGGGGCCCACCCATTTGCAATGGACAAGAGAGGAGCGAGATAGTGCTTTCAGAACGTGGACCCTGTATCCTCAAGGGCCCTGGCATCTCTGGGTGGCATCCACTCATTCACTCGGTTATAGGTCCAGCTCGCAGATCTTGGCTGGTTGGTTCATGAGATTTGGTGTCTCAGCCATCGAAGAGGGTGTGAGGCACCTGCCAGTGGAAAACCAGCTCCCAGCCCCAACCAGCTTCCTGCAGACTGGCAAGCATGGGCTGTGTGCACAGTTGGCCCAGCCCAGGGTGCACGCCGGAGAATCCAGTCCTGGCCCCCTTCATTGTGCTAAACGCTGCCATTGGAGATAGAGACATTGTGTCCCCTGTGAGCTCTTTCATCTTTTTAAACCAGATTCTTAGCTTCAACCAGATCTGTTCCTCACCTCTTTTTTCCAAAGAGGACATCCACAATTGTACCTTATTATTTGGAGACCTCCGTCCTGAGGAGGATGCACTGTTTTCTAGATAAATTGGATTTCCCTCATGCTGTTTTTTGGTTGGTTTGTTCTTTTCCCTTTTGACAAGATAAGCTTTATGTTAGAGTTGCTTTTGTCTCTTGGATCTGTTTCCTGACATGGAATCATTGCATTGCTGATTTACTGTTAGAAATGTTTAAACTACTTCCTTTGAGGACAAGTTTGAGTTTTAGTAAGCTGTAAAGCTATTTTATTTGGTTCACTGTGATTAAGACAAGCACAAAAACAAGTGAAGAAACAGCACATTTCAATGTAATCCCCTTTGGAATTTTTTCCAAAGTCTTGGTATGTCTTTGTGACACAAAACTTGAATGGGATGGGTGAATGAAATGCTCCTAGTTGCATAGCTGTTACTGAGCTCCCAAAATAAATCACTTTTGCCCACACCTGGACTCTCCATTGTCAAACTGTGTATGCGTTTCTCTTGTGTCAGCTCCCCCCTCAGGCTGGTTTCTCCTGTTAACTATTGTGGGTGTGAAGGCTGAGGTTACGGCTGCTTTACTCGGTGTTATTGCCCCCTTGGGGTGAGGGGGAGGCCTAGAATTCACCTTTTCCAGGAAAAGCAGCAAAACCCAAGGCAAGGACACGCCTTTGCTTGCCAGGCTGTTCCCAAGAACACAGGCAGGGTCCTTGGTCGCTCAAATCGGAGGATCCGGGTACTGTACCATGTTTACTCTGTGACGTAGCTTTCCTAGAGGCCTCTAGAAAGTAGTTTGAGGCACAATTGCAGAATGTTGGTGGTTGAGGGCTAGAAGCGAGAGAAGCCACTCACACCAGCATAGTTCCAGATCAAATGGACCCCTGCTCTAAGGATTTTACACAGAGCTCAGGTGGGGAGCAATGAGCTGCCTGCCAGCTGGCATGGGTGTGGCTCTCTGCCTCTGGGAGGAACGTCCCCTGTAGGGGAGGAGCGCATGGGGAAGGGGGTGAGCAGAAGGGTCATTCAGCAATAGGTGATGGGGGAGGGGGCCCTGGGAACTGGAGCAATGAATGGGCGTCACAGATCCCACTATAAGGAAATGCCTGGAGCCAGGACTCGGTGCAAAATTAACTGTGGGACCCTATGCAAAATTAAAAATTAAAAGGGCCTCTTGTTCAAAAGTGGTCAAGAATTTCAAGACGGTGACAACCGAGCACTGAAGCAGGCACGGAGTCCTTCGGAGTGCCCACCTCTGATGCAAGGGGCTGAAGAGGAGAAGGCAGTGGGGGGCCTTGGGCAAGACCACACACTTCCAAGTGAGTGTGAGATGTCGCTGGGGTGGCCCTAACCCGGCAGCAAGCACTCTCATTTGTATCAGGCGAGGTTCTTTTTCACAAGCATGGCTCACAAACCAAATGGCAGGAAGCCAGGGGTGGAGGCAGCTGCAGGATGGACTGGAATTAGGGGCTTGAACCCTGTCAGGACTCTCTCATCTGTTTTCTTCTTCATGTGGGGTTCTCTCCCTCTGAGGTTTTCCCAACATGATGAAAGCCATTCTGTGGGCAGACAGGCAAATACCCTCCCAACTAAATGACTCAAGAGGCAGAGTCTCTTGGGAAGAGTTCTGATTGGCTTAGATTGTGTGCCCGTGTGCCTGCTCCCAGACCAGTCACTGTGAGGTTCTACCGTTGGTTTAGCTGGGTCTCAGGCCCACCTCTGGCCAGGATGAGTGCATAAACGGTGATGGTCAGCTTACACTTGAACACACGTGCGTTGTGGGGAGTTGGTGAAGATGGTGAGCAGTGTCCCTAAAGATGCGAGAATGGTGCCCAGGCAGACAAAGTAAATGCCCACAACAATGTTCAAATCTGGGTACTGTGTTTGCTGCTCGAGACATACAGAACCAATCTACTGACACTGGGTGTGGTGAAGGAAAGTACAGTGTTTATTGCAAGGCGCCAAACAAGGAGAACTGGCAGCTCAGACTCAAAAGACCCAAACTTCCCAATGGCTTTCAGGGAAGGGCTTTTAAAGGCAACATTAGGATTGAGCATTGCAGGGTAGATGATCAGCTTGTGGACATTTTTTTGATTGGCTGGTGGTGAGGTAACAGGGTTATGTTTCAGGAATCTCAGTCATCAGCCTTCTGGTTCCAACCAGTCTAGGGGCTATGTGTTTATGGTCAGCAGTTTCCACCTGATGGGGTCCTAGCTTTTGTAAAAACAACTTAAAAATGTGAGTCAGGAGATTATCTGTATCCCTCGTGGAGAAACTAGGAGCCCTGTGATTCTTTGTATGGCTGACTTATTGTTTATGTTATTATTACTTTTTTTTGCTTGACTGCTTTTCCTTTGTTCCTGCTTTTCCGTTTCTCTAATCATTAATTGCTTGAGTCTGCTCGTTGGAACTCGGGGAGGGCCTAGGAGAATAAAGCTTTTTCTACAGGCAAGACGAGGGGTCTGTCACAGGGGAAAGCCCCGCAGGGTCCTGCTCGGTTTCAGCTGCGCCAGGGCTTAGGGGGGCCCTGCCGTCGTCCACCTCCAACACCAGTCCCACCTGAGGAAG